AATTCCATATAATTGGATGAAAAATGTTTGTTATTTCTAATTGACGAAGAAGGCTACCAGTCGTACCAGCTGTAAACCTAAAAATACTCCACCACTCATGGATATTACAAAGGTACGAGAACACACGAGAATATTAGCATAACGACTACTATTTTTTAATAAACTCTGTGGCCAAGAGGTACACGCGTATTTTTGCAGAATGCACTTCAGTATGATCCCTCTGCATATATACGTACACGTATACACATGTGTTCCAGATAAAACCAGATAAATTTCACTAACATATTTAGAATATCATTATGAAAAATCTTATTATTTAAATTCTTTATATAAATAGTCGTGATTGTAAATAAAAGTAAAACACAATTTTAAATGAACAATCATATAACGGAATAAAACATTTTTCCTTTTTTTGTTCAAAATTACCTCTCAAATCTACAGGCACAATCTTTTCATCTTAGGGACACCCTGTATGCACTCTACTTATAGATTCCAGAATTCACGTGGAGTATTCTAAACGCTATAATGCAGTCCATATACAACGTATCATAGACACTGGATATATCTCTTGTTCGCGAAGAATGGTCGCTCGAAATGGAGAGTAACGTATGCAACGTACAATTCGGTTAAATCGCGCACAGGAAATGGAAAGAACAAAACACGAAACCGGCGAGGATGGACATGGCGCGCAAGCAAAACGCACCGAAAATAGCCTTCTCATTTTCATTTAAACACCGTGCCTAGCCGTGTTTTCTCGGCGAGAATTCACGAGAATGTGAAACATTATGGTACACGCGAGACGACAGATAATCGAAACCGCGTCGCGGTTTCAATAATGCGACGTTATTGACGTTCCCCGAATGTTCGTCGATGATGGAAGACAAGACAGTGACGTTTACGTAATGGAATTATCGTTTTCATTAATCATGCATTTACTTTTCCTTCTCTATGTTCATGTTCTTGAACTTGTATAATGGCAGGTGAAACGAGAATCACGTATCTTCCAGTAAAATTCATCTTCATTATTATATAATAATGATACTGATTTTTTTTTTCATTCTTTTTCCGATTTAAATTATTATGAATGAAAAATAGGAAGGCACTTGCAGATCTTATTCATTTTTCAATTTAGCAATCCTTACAAGTTATCTAAAATAAAATATATATATATATTATGAAATCTGTATGATAATATAATTTGAATAAACGTATTTAATCTATTAATAAAATTATTTTAAAATTATTTAATAAGTAATATTCTTTAATGCAGCATTATATTATCTTAATAAATATAAAAATAAATATTAAAATTAATCACCTGTTTCATACGTTAAGGAAAATAATTTTATCAGAAAATGATATACACAAAGTAAATTTTCCTTATATGTCTATAAGTATGACATATCCAATATGAGAATCAGTGTTCTGGAAACGTGTGCCCCAAAGGATTAAATAAACATTTTCTACCAAGAAAATATATATATATATATTTTCAAATATATGTTGAGCTACATGGCGAAAAGACAGCATGAGGAAGCGTTTCAATTCCATAAAACGAACCGGTACCAGATGAGCTCTCAATTCCCTGAAGTGCGTGGTCATTTTTCATATCCTCGTTTATTTCGGATGAAACAAAAATGAAATTTCTCAAATATTTACTTTTATACTATATGTCAACGAATATATACTATAAGTTAAGACTCGATTGATTTTAATTGCACCAGTTAATCGTGTGAAAAAGATATCAGTCGTATTTTTGTCCATCATCGATAAAGTAAAAGATGAAGAAAAATTCGCGAATGTATATTAAAAACGATATCAATTAAACTGTGCTTCGATTTTGAGAAAATTGAAAAGAAGGATTTAGTCAAAAAAAAGAAAAAATAAGGAAACGTTAGATTGTGAACAATCCTGATAAAAATGAAAAGTTTGAATGGTTCATATTAAAGAATTATGTGTTTATTTAAATAAATTATCTGTATTTTTAAATGCATTGTTTAAAAATTGAATATTATGTTTATAGGTATATATTCATAAAATTCTTTAAAATTATCCATTCTTTTTCAAACTATAAAAGGAATATTTTAGAATAATATTGTTTAAAAAAATTTGAAATTAAAATTATAACCATTGAGCAAGAGTTGCATTAGTATTGAGAGGTATATATTTGAATAATAAGACATTCATGGAGTAAAATTAACTTTTTTGATAATTCTTATCAGTATTAAAAATAGCTTAGTGGCAATACTAATTAATCTTGAATATCACTATCCAATCTAAATTACCTAGTAATTAATGCTTATCTAACTTTTTAAATTAATTACTAAGTTAAGAAAAGATTAATGTTTTATCTAACTTTTAAATTGATCAAAATATAGAGAACAAAGTGCTAAATAACACACAAATATCCTCTCTCTGTCCATCAATGTTTTCAAGCTTTTTTAAATTGCGATTTTCACAATATCTGAGATAATATAAATTGCAATCTTTCCTCTATATAAGATAAGAAAAATTAAAAACAGAATTCTTACAAAATTAAATAAAAAGAGGAACATTTTATTGCACGTTACAAATTTAATTTTTGAATTAAATGTGCAAAAACCTTTGATTTCTTATAATTATTATCATATATTTATATATTATTCAGATATAAATATATTAAAATAAGTAACTAAAATTTACTAAGTTATTAAAAAATATAGTAACTAAATTTATTAAAAATACTAGTAACTAAAAACGATACTAGCAATTTGTGATTCTTTTAGATCGCAATTCATTTGAGAGCCACTGCTTTAAGCCAGAATCATTTGACGATCGTTTTCCCCAATTTCTCTATCCAAGAATCATTTAGGTTAATTCCTAATTGGTAATATTAACAAATTCGCAAAGTCAACGTGTCCCGGAAACCAGTTACCCCGATTTATGATATCGACCTTAATACATAATCCATTTCCATAGAAGTACTAGACTAAGTGAGTTTCAAACGTCTATTTCATCCAGAAACGAGAAAATTTGCAATTTAAAGGTGCGAAATCTATCCTAGTTTCCGTAAATTTTATCGACAACGATTTATTTTCGTTCCATATCTATCGATTTTCTTAGCTCTATTTATCATTTCGTTTTCAATTCTTTGTTGAGACAAATAGAAGAAACATCTAGCAAGCTGCATGCCATATGCGTTATTCTTCTTTTCTTTTCTTTTCTTTTTTTTTTTTTTGATCTTCAACGAGTAACGTGGCTTCTTCCCACGACTTGTCAACTCTGATTTTTACATAACCTAAAAAAGACACAAGAATTGAAGTAAAATCGTAAACTAAAGAATCATTGCCAAAACTGGATAACATAAATTAAGCTTACATTTCCAATTGTAGATTGATAATTAAATTTTCGTTAAGATATAATTTTTAAATAAGATAATTATTTCATAACATATTGTTATTGAATAACTTTTATCTGCATACAGGATGAAAAAAGAAGTAAGAAAAATGGAAAGAAAATTTAAAAGATAATTTTCGAGACTAAAATAAAATTTGGAATTTAAAAATATTCATTAATTATAATTACCAGCAAATCAAATTGAATAAGATTTTATTCTTACAATGATTAAAAATATGTAAACTCTTTTAATAATATTAATATTAATTTCTATTCTATAGATAGAAACATAATTATACATTATAATTATATCAAATTATTTTTATAATAGTATCTTAACTTTACTTTTTTACGTACAACATATATTTTTAGGTTAGTAATAGAGTTTCATCTCCGCCATACTCTGTTTTTCTTTCTCTCTTTCTTGCTTCATCTAGTGCAAAATTAAATTACCCACAATTTTAAAATAAGCTTCAACCTTAAATCTTTTCCCTACTTCAAACATTCTGTATATACTTTACTCGAATATTACTTATTCTCGCATTATGTACTTATCTTCAAATCAATCTGGATCGATCGAGAAAAAAAGGTAGAAGGCATTTACTCTCGATACGTTAATGAAGAGTTCGGTAGGAATAGGCCGAAAAATGTTCCAGTTTCGTTTGTAGAAGAAGTAAAATAGGCGGTCCGTTAACTTTTCAACTGAGAGATCGTTATTGGAAACTCTTTTCGTGGAAGAAAACTCGTTATCTGCCGTCTGGATGGGTTTTGTGCTTGGTACGCATACGACCCAACGAAAGGGATGCACAGGAGTCAAACGGAAGGAAGGGCGTGCGGGGCCACCCACTAACACTTGAAATCGCACCGTATACACGTCATGTGCGTGTGCCACCGACTAATCGATAAGTTTCTCGACTGTTGGCTAAACAATATCTAGCACAGTTTCTCATGATTCTCAAAGAGAGATTTCTCGCGGCCGTGTTCGTCAAATTGAACATCATAGGTTCGATCGTGTGTATGTACCACTATGGAAGCTTTATGTTTGCGCGCTGGCCGAGAAATTGAAACTGCAATCGAGCACTGACCGCGTCGATCACGTTGAACACGCGATCGTTATTATTGGTAACCTTTTGTTCGAATCTATTCGTCGAAATTGGACTATATGACGTTCGAGAGAATGCCATTTAGAGAAAACGATTGGAACTATCGATATATCGATATTCGATAGAAAATCTTCGAGTTTCGAACAACTTCACTCGTGTCTAGTGATAGAATAAGGTTAAGTCATATTTCGCTTTCGTGCCTAATTTCGAAGATATAGTGTTTAGTGCTGCAATCTAATGGCGATTGCGTAAACTGTATATTAATATATAAATTGATAAAATAAATGAAATTATCAAGTAAAATTCGACATTTTGTTATTATATATACATAGTACATAGTACTATTAAATTAGAATTGATAAATTTATTAAAAAAATAACTTTATACCTACTTTCTAAATACTGTTTCAAATCTTGCTTTCTTTATGTCAATTTTTATTACATTGAGAAATAAATAGTAGAAACGAAATTTCATGAAACGAAAAACAAAAAGGAAACTTCAAAAGAATCATCAATTATTAAACATAAAATATAATAAAAGTCAATCAAGACTACAATATATAGATTAATTTTCGAATGAAAGAAACCTCAAAAAAAACAAAGTTTGTTTTCTCCTTACCTTACATTCCATTTTCGAAGATTTATCAAATCTTATCCAAAACCTTTTATCTCCATCACGAATCGAAAAACCACGAATGACAATCCTGTGCACACGAGCAGTATTCGTCTCGTTTCGAACGAATGTCGCACGAATTGTGAATGTCGAAGGACGGAACATAGGTTAGTAGTATCGGTCAAGGTTAAGCAATCGATGCTGGAAATTCACGCGGTCCAAGCGGCTGTATTGGCATCGGGCCTTGGCGCGGCTGGCTACGCCCCTGTCGAGTGGGGACACCCGTGAAACAATAAACCCTTTTTACAGACGTCCACGAGGAAGTTGAAGCGTCGCGTCGGCTTCAAAGCGATTCAACCTCGCGTTTCGGCGTTGAGAACAATTCTCGAATGTCGTCGTATTTCTTTCTCCCTCTCTCCCTTCCCCTCGCGAATATCCTCTTTACGATTCCCTCGCGGTAGCAGTTCTTTCTTCGGGAATAAGCTCCTTAGTTCGCGAAAGGAAACGCGACAGGAGGAGAGAATTAATTTCCACGAGAATTTCTGTCTTTCTGTCAAGGACGAGCCAGCACGTGGACAACGAACATCCGTATATCCGGGAGCATATAGGCGGAATAGAGATTCGGCCAAGGTCGGACAATGAAAATCCTTCTGACCCTGTAATTATTTGGCATTGCACTTTGGCTGAACTCACGGCCCTGACCATCGTTCTCGATGTGGTTAATTTTCGTTCCTGGCTCCCGACTACTTGATTAAACGTATATGGGAAGGAGACGGATATTGTTTGGGTTGCAAGAATTTTGGAAATATGCGGAAATGCCAAAGGTCCTACGAAGAAAAAAAAAAAAGAAAACCAAGGTTGATTTAAAATTTATTATTCTTCGTAATCTAATATTGTAATCTCTCTTTTAAAACTTTATAATGTTTTCTTATAGTATAGAATAGAGATGAAATCGATATCAATAAGATTACGTGTGACGTAAATTAAATTAGATTAGATTAAAAACAGGCTGTTAAAAAAAGATTAGAGAAAAGAACGAAATTGATTATACATACAATCCAAATTTATACTCTAAACATTTATTGCATTTTTTTGATGATAAGAGGCGAGGTCAATTATTTTAGATTAGATTAGGTTAAGTAATTTACAACCAAATTCCTAGAACTGTTTTATCTCTATATTTCATTTTTATCAAAAAAAAAAAAAAAGAAATAAAAAGCATAAAAAAATATTTATAGACGTTTAATAGCGTTCCAAAAACGAAACTTAACCTTGCACTTTGACGACCCTGACTTCTCGTTCATGACATAACTAATTCGCCCCTGCCTTCCTAATACCAGTCGAGGAGAAATCCATGCAACGAGGAATTTTGGAAATGAGAGCGGAAATCGGGAACGCGAGACGCTCGTGGAGCGGCGGAAATGTGGAAACACGAGGGAAATTCCACTCGAGAGGAAAGAAAACTGGAGGGAGAGACAGAAAAAGACAAAGATAAAAGAGAGTGGAGAACGCAGAGAAGTTGGGTAGGATTTGCAGAGAAGGGTTTGAAAAGAAGGAGGGAAAAAGTGGCGTCGAATGAAAATGTGCAAAGGAGGAAGAGATATTTGCGAGAAGACGCAAACGTGGGGAGGAGGAGGAGTTTCGTTTTGTCGAATTCGTGAGTTTTGCTCGAGGAGCTCGAGGCTGAAGCACGCACAAGAGCAAATGAAGGGTGAGGCCTGAGATAAAGAAACGAGTTCATTCAGAGACTTGAATAAACACGAGCCAATCTATAACGATGCGGATAGATTTCGGATAGATCGTTGTGTATTTGATATGGAAATATGGAGATTGATTGAAATAATGGTGTAATAATCGAGATTTATCTCTTCTTGCACGGATAAAAATTATACATTCGATAAATGGATTGAAGGGGATGAGACGCTCGAAATCACTCGAAAAGTTTCGAAACGTACTCGAAACGTTTCGCTATTTTGTTCGAAATCCGAATGTAAAGGATGATTCGTATAAATAATTTATTGAGATCGATTCATTTTTATTCAATCGAATGTGATCCGATTGAATTTATTCCCTGACTTTACCATTTGTTTCAATGGCGGTCTCGAGAAAAAGTTTCGAATTCGAGTTTAAACGTTTTATTATTCGCCGAATGAAAAACTTTCGCACGTACGTTTCTTAATATATTATAACGTGCATTTTTACTTATTATTACAACGATGCTAATTTTGTATCTTTCTTCTTTTTTTTTTTTTTTTAATTTATTCAAGATTGGTGTACCGTCGAGTATAATTAAAAGAATTAAGACATATAAAAATAAAGTGAGAATAATAATGAGAATAATGATACGATCGTTGTAACAAATTAAATTCAATTATAAGTTGAAAGTCAGACTTTGTTGCCTTGAATCAAACGATCCATCCTATGCATCCGATGAATATTCAAAACAGGAGGAATATTTTTCCGGAAACCGAGTTTCAATGACGGACAGTGGCTCGGATCTTTGCATTCACACGCTTGTTTGCATCCTGATTTTTCAACCTTGCGGCATCACAAGCGAGGAAAATTGCATAACCGAGTTCTTTTAACGAGAAAACTATCGAGAAGGATGAAACACTTTTGCGAACAAGTAACTTGATTTCAACAAGCTACTAATTCTGTTTCTTGAAAAAAGTTATAGGAGGAAAGTGGTGGAATCTCGTGTTGAACTGTAACCGGGGAAGAGAAAGGAGATAATTGGAACTCGTTTAATCAATCCGGATAAAAATAATCTAGTTATTTTATCAAAACAGGACGTTCGTAATTATGTAGCTTGTATTTTTGGTTAAATTAGAGTTTCTTTGATTATCACTGTTTTCTTATCTTTTTGGGTTGGCTGGCATATTTTAAATTTAGTTTTACATTTTTAAAACGGCACGCTATAATTCTTAATATAGATAACAATTTTTAGTGACGTTTTTTACAACGTGAAAGATAATTCGGTACTTGTCACAGTTTCGTTATTTATTTGAACAAATAATTGAAAAATATTAGTAAATGCAAGATTGTTAACATCATATGTATTAAACGTTATTTATAAAAATGTGGTACAACATTTTAACAAAAACAAAATCGTTGATTAGATTAGATATTTCTAGAATTATCTTAAAGTTCGCACCTCCCTTCCATACTTTCTATTTTCGCCGAACAAGTGATAATATCATCACCGATAAAAAAAACGATTCGAAACCTTGGAAATAATTGGAAATAATTCATTAACTGATAGATGTCAAAATCAAAATCAATTCTACTTCACTGGTCGGGCCAACTTCGAGAAATTGATTAACATATCTCTGGTCAATTTGCATATTTTGCGCGTTTAGGCGATAAAGCCAACTTTTCGAAGAACCGAGTAAGAAACGTTTTCTAGATGCAATCGTTATTTCAAACCGGATGCGACGAGAATATTACCAACTTCCTCCGACAACAACAAGGCGAATTTCCAAATTCGTGCGAATTACGCGAAACGAATAAAAATCTCCAAGTAAAAATCATCGAATCGATGTGTAAAAGGGAAACAGGAGAAAGAGTGTGCACCGGTGATGAAAAAAAAAAAAAAAGAAAGAAAGGAAAGTCGAAGAAAAAAGTGGGGTAACAAGTTGTGCCCCGAAGCTTCTCGCTCTTCCGACAGAGACGTGGAGGACAAAAGAGAAGAAGGAAAAGTCGTGGGGAGGTGTCCGATGTGTACGTTTAATCGTTATAACGATGAAAAGATGGATTTCACTGGAATACTGTGGCTGGAATAATCCATATACTCGTGCAGGAAGCGCGTTTTAAACGCGGTGAAGGATTTAACGAGCGATAAATAAGGAACGGAACAGCACGGTGAAATGAAGGACACGCGACTTCCTTCTTGAGGAAAATCCAGTTTTATATTATGTTAATGCGAGCAAGGTGATTATTAGATCGTTTGAAGAATGAAAGGATGAGAGAATGTTTAACAAGATTTCTAAAGTTTTCGTCGAAAGCAAGGTCGCTTGTTCCAATATGGAAATATCACACTTTTTCTTCGAGTTTTCTTCCTTTCCCTGGAGTGGTTTATTAATTCATTATATTGAAGTACAGTTTTATGATAAATATCCTTTTTATACTGAAACGATTAATAAAATGTTATTGCAAATTGTAAATTTTAATGAATTATTATTTAACGAATTATATTTAATTTTATTTAATTGCAAAATCGTTTCATATGCGATAATCTGACGCGTGTGTTCGTATAAGTGAAAGTCGAACTATCCTTCAGTTTCAGTTTTTATAATTTTTAAGACGATCAGAGTTGTTCCTTTTCAGAGTTGTTTCACGTCTCATTTCTCTGACCATTTTTTTTTAAACTCGTATTATATCGTCATTGAATATAATCCAGTGTTACTATAATTTTATCTCGTATCATTATCGCTGTGTATATCTGTTGGAGAAACGAAAAAATCAAAATTGCATCCAATAATTACTTTTTAATAATAATAAAACAAAACTTATCAGCGTTTTCAACAATTTCTCATATTACAAGATGTTTCTTCGTTCCTTGTTAATAGAATTGCAATACCTTTTCCGTACTATTTTATGAAAAAGAAAGTTTTATAAAACTGATTCGCTTCTATTTTTCAACCTTTCAAAAGCTTTCATAGTGTAACAAATGGTCTCAACCATCGTTTGCAATTGTCCGATAAAACAACGTTATAAACAGCTTTATAAATGGTTATTCGCATCATATATTATTTTTCTGTTACAAAATCTGACGACGAGATTCGTCATTCTTCGTTCATTATTCGATAACAGCGTTAGTTGGATAACGCGCCAACTCGATACAAAAAGAAACAACAAATCGATTCTCATCTTCAAATCATATTTTGATAGAAAACGAACCAGCCTCTTCCCTCTCCGCGTTAATACTCAACTTGGATACGATGATACAACAATACGTAACAAATAGTAGACGGCCATCTAAACGAGATCGGTAAAAAAACGATGCAAAAAAAAAAAAAAAAAAAAAGAAGCCGAGCCGGTTTCGGACAACGGTTCTTCTTTGGCTCGGAGTCGTTCTTCGGGGCGAGCGGATCGATCGAGGTCCACCTCGATGAAATCTCCTGCCAACTCGGCCACCGAACACAAAGTTCCCGGACCACGGTGTTTCAGTTCTCGCGTGATTCTGCGAAATGGCGAGAAATGTAGGCTAACGTGTCCCACCCACGCTTCTTTCTTTTTTTTCCTTTCTTTTTCTCCCTCTTTCTCTCTCTCTCTCTCTCTTCTTTTTCTTTCCACTCGTGGAAACAGTGTCTCCGTAGAAAAGATGAATGAAGAGAAGAAGCGAGAGAGAGAGAGAGAACGAGAGGAAAGGCGGGATTGGATTGGCTGGGACGTTCGCGCATGCGCGAGCATCGCGGAATTTCAAACGATCGAACGGACCACCCACGCGAAACGGATTCTCTTCTGAGTATGACACTTAGCCCGTGCAAGGGGCACGTGATTTCCTGAGGACAGTGTCACCGATAGTTACCGCTGTTGATTGTTACGATCGTTATGATTAATGTTCCCGGCCACACGATCGTGTCGTCAAGCATTAGATAATTCGAGGATGAAACCAGTGTGACGAGTTGTTTCAGAAAGTTTCAAACCGTTTCAAAGGCGGAACCACAAGGAAATTTGCCCGTTAGTATTAGAACATTTCTTTTTTTTTTTTTCAAAGAAATGAATATTCGTTGAAATAAATTCTTTAACTTCATTA